CGGCCATGTGGGGCCCCGGGGTCCCCGCCGAGGGCCTGTCCGTGGCACCGGCGCCACCTCTGCTGCCGCTGCTGCTGCTGGCGCTGGCGCTGGTGGCGCCCTCGCGGGGCGGCGGGGGCTGCGCGGAGCTGGCTTGCGGGGAGCGGGAGCGCTGCTGCGACTCGGCCAACGCCACGGCAGTGCGCTGCTGCAAGCTGCCGCTCCACGCCTTCCTGGACAACGTGGGCTGGTTCGTCCGCAAGCTCTCCGGGCTGCTCATCCTGCTTGTGCTCTTCGCCATCGGCTACTTCCTGCAGCGCATCATCTGCCCCACCCCACGCAGGTACCCGCGTGGCCAGGCACGACCTGGGCAGGCACGACCCGGCGCTGCGGGAGGCGCGGGGCCCCCGGGGACCACCGGGCCACCCGACGACGACGACGACTCGCCCGCCTTGCTGCGGGACGAGGCGGCCGCAGGTTCGCAGGACTCGCTGCTGGACAGTGGGGGCCGGGGAGGGGGCGGACGCCCGGGCCCCTCGGAGCACGAGCTGCGCGTGGTCTCGCCGGTCTTCCTGCAGCTGCCCAGCTACGAGGAGGTCAAGTACCTGCCCACCTATGAGGAGTCCATGCGGCTGCAGCAGCTCAGCCCCGCCGAGGTCGTGCTGCCCGTGTCGGTGCTCGGCCGTCCGCGAGGCGGCGGTGCCGGGGACCCCAACGGCGGCCAGGGCCGCTTCCCGCTCATCTGAGCGCCCAGAGCCTCGCCGGGACCAGCCTGACCCGGCGTGGTTGGGGGCTGCGGGTGGCAAGCCACGGCTGGTGTATCCGCGGCCACCACGGACTGCCTGTGACCCCGCCTAGCATCCCCGCATACCCTGTCGCCCCACGCCTGGACTGGGGTCAGTCTCCTCCCTCTCGCTCCCCGGGGATCGGATGTGTCTTTGGGCTCAAGGCTGAGGCGGACGAGCCCCCCAGCGCCACTTGGACCGACGTCCCGCCCTCTGCCATGCCTCTCCTCATGTTCCCTCGTAAGTGCCTGCTTCCCGAATCCCGGAGGACACGTGAGCCCCTAGGTGCCTCTCCAGACGGGCAGTTTGCTTTTAGGTTCAAAAGGAAGGAGCGGAGTTCTATTCCTTGCCCTCCTGCCTGAACATGGTCTCCCAGGACAGGATGGTGAGGAGCCAGCCATCCCTGTGCAGCCGCCACCAGTGACTGTTACCTGCGGGTCTCGAGGAGCGCAGGTTTTTGCTGTGTTAGAACCCCATCTTGAGAAGGAGCCAGAAAACTTCCTCACCTAACAAATATCTAGTCACAGCTGACCGCTCACGGGGGGGGGGGGGGTACCACAAAGGATGGTTTAGTTGCTGCGCCTAGAGAGGAGATAGCAACTACTTACTTCCGATGGACTTTTTTGTTGCAGTAAGTTCTAAGGTGTTTATTTTGTCATTTATTTTTGTATTGAAAGCACCAAGAAAATAGTTCGAGAAATTGACAACATAATCGTGTTATCACTGTTTTTTTTGGGGGGGGGGGGTTGTTTTTTAAGACCAGTAATGGTCAGGAAGTTGCCCATATTCTGTCTTTATTTTATTTTATTTTTGGTCTTTTTGAGACAGGGTCTCCCTGTAGCCCCAGCTGTCCTGGAACTCACTATGTAGACCAGGCTGGCCTTGAACTCACAGCCTCTGCCTCCCGAGTGCTGGGATTAAAGTCGTGCGCCACCACGCCTGGCTCTGTCTTTATTTTTTTTAAAAAATGTTGAACACTGTTTCGTTAAAGATGATGGTTGTGGGGAAGCATGCATGGTCAAACAGGAAACTTGTGACATAAAAACATGAAGGATATCTTATTTTCAGTATTTGAGAGCATATTTTATTTTTAGTACTGTGGCATATAACTTTTTATAATAACTGTATACATTGTTTAGTCTGGGTCTTAATTGTATCATTCATCAGTAGATATATGTAAAAAAAAATCATTGATCCATATATGCCCTACCATGGCACAAGATGTCCTGCTGCACTTTCTTGTCCACTTTTCATTTGGGATACATTCGGAAACATGTTTCAAAACCTAAGAACTTGGGACTTGTAACTTTTGTTTAAACCCATAATTTTGCAGTAGTGTGCTGCTACAGAACCTGTCTTTTAAAAAGTACCAAGTGTCATTAGACCATTTCTACAATTCTGTGACACTTCCTTTAAGCAAAAGATAATGGGACATATTTTAATGCACGGTGTATAATGTATATAACGTTGCCTATGTACAATATATACATCATATGCCATATGGCAGCTTATGATGAGTAAAAAGGAAAAGGAGGAAAACAAATGCAGAGTTCTCTGGAGAAGTGTGAAGATTATCAGTCATCAAGAAATGTTATCCAGGTCTGGAGAGATGCCTTAGCAGCTAAAAGCAGTTGCTGCTCTTACAGAGGAGCAGAATTCAATTCTGGACACCCACAGGCAAATCACAGCCATCTGTTCCAGGGGAGTTGGCTGCCCTCTTCTGGTCTCTTTGGGCATTGCACACACACGGTGCACGTACATGCAGGTGAAACACTCATATATATAAAATAAAAATAAAATCTTTTTTTAAAAAAAAAGATTATCCATATAAATCTAGAACATTGTTCATTCCTATGAGTGAAGTTGGACAATCCTAGAAATCTTAAAACATGTGACTTGTATTGGAAGAAAATTGATTTGATTACTTTTAACTTTGAATATCTGATTGAAAAAGTCTGATAGCCCTAGCGAGTTTTTTAATATCTGGATTGTAATAAAAGAGAATGGTTTGCTTTCAACTTCTAAAATCTAACAGCCCTATCATTAAAATCATCTGGTGTATTAAAACAGAAAAACACTAAAAATCTTTCTCTGTGCATTTCTTTCTTGTTTTTTTAAGAGAGGTTCTTAGATTATAGCCAATGTTGGCCTGGAATTCATTCTGCAACCCAGGCTAGCTTCAAACTTGCCTTAATCTTCCTGCCTCGGCCTCCCAAGTGCTAAGATTATAAGTGTGAGCCACCACACTATGTTTGTACAGTTTTACTAGATTTGTGACTACCTTAAAGTAGTAACACCTTAAAATATATGAAGTATATATCTTGTTTTAAAAGCAATTTTAAACAAAAGCATCAGTACTTAGGACTATTAACAAAAATGATACAAGATTTAATCAAACGATTATTCTGAATAATTACATATATTAATGACTCAGATACTGTAAATCTGCATTATATGTGGGTTTCAATATTAGTACCCACCAAACAAACTGAACTATTATGAAATTAATGCAGGAAAAAAACTTAATTTTAGGGTATATAGCTTAGCCAAATGCATTTGAGAGTGCCATGTTTTCCAGTGCTGAGCCTTTTCTCCTGATCTCCAAATACAATAGTCCTGAATATAGCAACTCATCTAGAATGTAGACGTTTATATGCTAGGTAATTAAACATGTACACATATATATATAAAGTGTTCGTGTATAATTATGAGTTGTATAAAAACAATTTGTTATGGGAGTTCAAGATCATAATCAAGGGGAAAATGTCTTCTTGAGATAGAATGGGTTTTTAAAAACCGTTAATTGCTACATACTGCAAATGCAAGGGGGTTTCAACCATGGAAAATAGCACTGGCAATTACACCAAGGGGCATGAAGAATGTGCTATATAAGGAAGAGGAGATTCAATTATAAAGGGTAAAGGGAATACTGAAGAAATGGCCTCACTTAGCAATTTAAAAAGCAATATGCTAAGTACCTTAATGTCCTTTTATGTATACAGTTTCTCTCAAGTGGAATTAATAAAGGAAACAATTCAGGGCTGAAATTGATATGTTATAAACATGAATATGGCATACAGATATACACAGTATTCTACATTGACTTTTCATGAATTGTAAAGAATTTGAATTTTCAGGTTGAGAGAAACAATGATATGTATTGAATTTCTTTTTGTATAAAAGAGCCTTAACAGTTTCTCCAAAGCAGTGTCAGATCTTTAGGCAAGTTTATCTCTGGCCTTGTGATTTATAATTCCCTCTTATTTTTCTTTCATCTTTGATGAAAAAGCCAATAGCTGGTAGATCAAAGAAAGGTATTTAATCAACCAACCGAAGAATGAACCAGCCATCAGTAAACTGCAGAAAACCAGGTCTCCTTGTTTTTCTATGGTCAATCACTCACAAAAGTTGTAGTGCTCCTTTTTCCAATTATGCCTATAAAAACCATCGGATGTCAAATAAAACCAGTATTTTGGTTATTCTTAAGTGCATATAGTGCCTGATTTTATTTATACCTGTACTTACAGAATTCACTGTTAATTTTCTCACCAAAATTCTATCATGGGTGATGGTGGGGGGAGTATGTATGCTTGTCAGGAACCTAAACAATACCAGAGGTTTTTTCCCTCAAGTTCGTGGTTAAATGTCTCTGTTGTTTTGCTATCTTAACAATCCTTGTATTCTCTCACTGTGTGTTCTTATCCTGATCTGGGTTGTCATTAGAAGGCTTTCCTCCAAAGCATATCTCTGTGCAGTGCCCATTGCTTAGTGTCAACTTGACATACATGGGTTGAGGGAGCCTCAATTACAGAATTTTCTCCATAGGACTGGCCTGTGGCCATGTCTGTGGGGCATCTTCTTGATTGTTGAGTGATGTAGGAGGGCTCAGCCCACTGTGGGTGGTGCCACTCCTGGGCAGGTGGGTCTGTGATGCATAAGAAAGCAGATTGAGCAGGGGCCAGGCGGAGCAAGCCAATAAGCAGCTCCTGCCTCCAGGTTCCTGCCCTGAGTTCCTCCTACCTTGGGCTCCCTGATGAACTGTGACTTGGGAGATGTAAGCTGAATAAAGCCTTTCCTCCCCAGGTTGGTGTTGGTCAGAGTGTTTTGTCACAGCAATGGAGAGACAAACTAGGACACTGCTGTAACTTAATGTCACTTTAGTTGTAGCTTTGCTCTTTACATAGAATTCTTCTTTTGGTAAATCAGTATTTCCAGGGTTTCTTTTGTTTACTCTTTGCATCTGACTTCTGTGGGTTTCCATTTTAAGCCAGGTAAGTGTTTCTTCTTTATCCATTAAATTAAAAAACTGTAAACCTTTTAAATTTTTTTCTTATTTCTTATCTATAGAACTTGTCTCTGTCATTCTGGATAAAGGATGAGCTCTTCGCATCTCTCTAGTGAGAAACTCAATTTGTCTGTATCTCAATGCAGTAGACCCTCACTTATTATCTCCTTATTGTTCCTCACCTAGATATTCTAGAAGGGATTGTCAACACTTCCACATCTTTCTCCAAAAAAAACCCATGCTGTTTGCTATATTAGTACAAAAAATTTGACCTTCGAATTCTCTTAATGACAGGGACCTTTTTTTGGCTTCCAAATTTCACATTTATTACTTCATGGACTGCTGCATCTTCTGCTCAGTTTGTCTCTGTCATCTTGGTGCTCTCCTCTGTGTGCATTGTTCTAAGGGTAAACCCTTCCTTGCTTACAAAACTTCTATTCATTGTGCTAGATAAAAGATCCTATCCTTCTCCATTTATAGACCACTGAGCCTGGTGACCTCAAAGGTAACTTGGTTTAGGATGACTGCTGTATCTTTCACATGCTTCTTGACATTCTCCAGGGGCTTCCCACAGTGTCTCTGTTTTATTGGGTGAAAAGCAAGTTACCCCTAACTTTTTTTATGCTTCCACATGATCTTAAAGTTATAATAACTTAAGATTTTTATCTAAAGAACTATTTTATCATTTGCCTTTTTGTTGGTCAAGTTTGTCCCATCAGACTAAGGGTTAGAACCAGATTTACTCATTTGTTCTTCGGCTTGTGTGAATTACATCTTCAGTATTGACCAAAGATGTTAAACCGATCAAAATTAACTTTGATTCTTTTTCTAGGTCTTAAAAATGTCTTCTCTTGATTTATAGATTTAAGTTTGGATTCAAACTGCTCATTGATTTGTCTTATCTCTCAATGTGCATAATCCTCATTGAACTATGAGCTATCTCATCTCTGTAGCCTCGTGCCAGTTTTACCTCTCCCCTGATGTTGCACTCACTGTCTTACTCCACAGCTCCACCTTCCAAGTTTTGCCCTGGGCAGGTCCTCACTGCATCCTTTTGTCTTTGCTTGAGTCTTTTCTGTTGACAGAAGCAGCCTAAGCCCCTTGCTGTATTATACCAATCCTGTATGTGTAAGGACATTCTCTGACTCACTTTTTCTTGGAAATTAAGCTCATTTCTTTATATTCATCTCTGTGCACTGAATAGACAAATGTTTACATTTTTGAAAAGTATCTTTTTTGCGATGATCTTCTTTTTTGACTAACACTGTCTTGAAGGTTCTTTTGCCATGCATTGAGCTTCAGAGACATTAGTTTGAGATTCAGTTCACCAGGATTGTGTTTTCTTGACTGATATCTACAGGCCCGTCCCTATTTATGTTTGCTGTATCATATCTCTTCGTATCCATATACTTAACTTCCAAACAAGGTTTTTATTTGGATTCTGTAATGTTTGTCTTTCCCAGTCTTTAACTGTACTTTTATTTTTGCTTGATAGTTTCTATAAATCAACTCTTGGCTCAGGCTTTTTTTTTTTTTTTTTTGCTTTAAAATGTTT